GGGAAAGAGGCCTGGGTGAACGCCTTGAGTCTCTGGAGTCAAAGCCAGAGAGGCTGGTCCAGGGCTGGCAGGAAGGTCACAGATGCCCTGATTGATTCAGAGCTCCTTCCAGAAGCCCCAGGTCCTCAGGCCTCTCTGGGCGGTGCAAATGGCTCTATCTGACCCTATCCATCCTGGGATCCTTCCCGTATGTTTCCTAAAAGAGTGAGACTCGCCCAAAGACACTCTCATTGTCTCCACTTGCCCAAACCTTGATACCCCGGGTCACTGCTGGGTGATGACCACACTGGTGGACAGAGACCCCAATGACTGGCAGGGGGGATTCCAGGACAGTCCAAGTGATGATGGAGGAGTACTCCCAGCTCGTCTCACACGCTATAGTACCTTTGGAGCTCTCCGGCCACGGGTCCTGCCCGTGCAGGGTTGAGTGAGTGTGAGGTGTGAAGGCTGTATTTCAACCATCTTCACTGCCATCATCACCAACACCATATGCAAACTCAGATTTTACAGAAAGGGTAAACTGGGATTCACCAGAGGTGAATAACTGGGAGACCACGGGTTGCTTGTAGGCTAGGCTTAGGTTTAGCTCACAGTGTTCCAATGGCCCCCAGCGGCCTCTCCATCAAGGCTCACTGAACCACTGGAAGAAATGGCAGAGTTCCGATTTGAACAGCAGGCTGTCTCAGCCCCTCCCTTTTCATCACGGTGGGTAATACAGGAGCATCTGGGAAGAAGGGGGCTGAGCTGGAGAGAGTTATGGAGCCAGGACTGCACTGAAGTCTCTCCTCTAGGCATTTGTAAGAAGATACACCTCTCGGTCCATGGAAGCCTGTGCGAGGGGCACAGCTCACCTCTTGCTCGGCCTGGGGCCACCACTCCCTCTTTGCAATGCTTCCCCTCCTGCCCAGCCCCTCCCCTTACCTGCCACCATGCCTGCGATGGCAGAAGGGGCATAGCTGCCCTGTCCACTGGTGGGGATGTGGGGTGGGTATCCAGGCAGCGTGGGCCCCACCATCTCTCGCCCTGCAAAAATACAGCAAAGTGTCATCAGGTGGGCCACTGTGGGCTCCTGGACTTACTGTCTTGCTCCCCTGAGGCTCAGCAGGCCTTCCCTCTGCCATTCCCGCTCTCTCCCGAGTCATTCTCCAGACCCACTTCCTCCCCCGCCCTCCTGCTCTGAGCCCAGGCTCCTCTCTCCTTGGCTGGCCTTGACCAGGCCACAGGCTCCACCGTGCAGGGTGTCCCGGTTACTGCAGTCCTCTATTGTTCCCTGTTCTCCAATGATTTTATTTACACAAATCTTATTCATCCATAAGGATGTCATGGTATTGGGGGGAGGCTGAGGGCTATGTCTTCTGGGTCTTTGTGGTCCCCCATGGCATCCACATAGCAGCCGGCACAGCTCGACCTAAATAAATATGTTAGAGGCCACTGGACTCAAAGCTCACATCTCCAGCTCCAAGGAGAACCGGGAAGAAGACCCTATGAAGGGACAGCAAAGGTGTGGCCTGTGGGCCCATCACTCTCCTTTTTCAAACCTGTGGCAGATACTGCTAATCAATCACTGCACTCTTTGCTGCTGAGCCAGAGGGAGGGTCCTGCGACTCGACCTGGCCTTTCAGGTGGATGCAACCTATCAGAACTGCAAGAGACGTGAAACATATTGCCTTTTCCTGACCTGGAAGGGAGATGTGGGCTGACAGACAGTGTTAACACATGCCCATGAACCACTGACATCTGTCCATGCCATTCCTGAAAAGAACCATCTCTCTCTTTGTTTATCTATAATGTGTCGGTAATGCTCTGGCCTTGGTGACACAGAGGCTGCTCTGTGAAGTCCTGATTTCCCTGGCTTTGCCTCTCTTCCACATCAGGTAGTCAAACCTTCCCATTCTGGAGACCCCACCTGACCTGCTGAGCTTCTCTCCATCTACACCACGTGCCAACAACCACAACGCTTCACCCATGTCCCTTCTTCCGTTGCCCCATGTCCTGCAGGCCCATGAGATTCTGCCTCATCCAAGGACGCTTGGCCAGGTGACAAGACATCCTGTCCTGCCCAGGTCATGAACACCGTCCCAGCATATTTATGAATAACGTCCATTCCACTCTCAAAATGCCCCAGTTTGAATGATGAAATTATTGGGTCGTCCTAGCTCTTGGTGACATTTACAAGGTTTCTGAACCTCAGACCTACTGACACTTGGGAAGAGATAATTCTCTGTGAGGGACTGTCTTGCGAAATAGAGGATGTTGGGTCTACCCACTAGATGCCAGTAGCAGTTCCCACTCAGTGTGACAACCCCAAATGTCTCCAGACATTGTCATATGTCCCCAGGGGGGCAAAATCACCTCTGAATGAGAACCTGTGTGTTAGATGATCACCATTACCAGAATGCCTTTACCTTTTCCACACTGGAGGCTACCTTCTCTCCTAGGACTTACATAGGCTCGCTGTGAGCCTCTGTCAACCAGTTTACCAAGTCCATCCCCTCCACGGCACTGTTCGTCCAACTATCCTCCCATCCATCCCCCCAAGGTCCTTCATATGTCGGGCCCTTCAGGGGGTGCCTAGTAACAATGGGAGGGAAGTTACCTCGCATGGAACCCTGTAAGTTGTCAATACAGCAGTAACTCCCTCCTTACCTCTATTTCTAGAGGTTCCCTGAAGACAGTTCATTCATTTGACAAATACTGACTGAGTAACTCTGATATCCTAGGCACTTTTCACAGCACTTGGGGATATAGCAGTAAGCAAGAAAGCTAAATTAGCAAGGCTAGGCGCTAAGTCATGATGCGGATAGACTGGGATGGGCATTGGAGCCAAGTCCAAGTCTGGGGGGGGCGGTCAACAAACAAGACCAGGCCTACTGGACTTCTGCCCTTCCTCTGGAGGGAAGGGTCTAGGAACCAGAGGACTTTGGTCCTCATTCTGCACATTTTCCAAGTGCCCTAGACCAGCCACCTACGTACCTCAAGCCTCAGTTTCTTCACATGCAAAATGCGATAGAAAATAAGAGTAGCCTTACACACCTTATTACTATTACCAGAATGTTATCAGCATAATTCAGAGCTAAGGTTTCATGCCACAGGTGAACACTGATTCGTGCAATGGACACATTCTATAAATTGTTACATGTCAAGGGAAACTTTATAGAATAAATCCTATTGGAAAGGAGCCATCGGTTCATTATTTAAAACTGTGTGAATGTTTTGGTAAAAATGAACAACACCCCCTAATTTCCCAATTTGTTTGAGTATAATGTCCAGCAGTGGTCGGTGCTGGACCAAACAGAAAGGAACCCGCTGGAATTTGACAGATGGGTTCAGTTCACTTGACACAGGCCTGAACAAATGAGGGCTTGGCCAAGAGAAGTAGGCAGAAGATATACCAAAGGGAAAATCTGATCTTTCTTCGAAAAAGACTGCAATACGATCAGCTCTCAGACTCAGCCCCTTGGACCCTTGGATGAAGCCCCTGGTCAGGTACCAGAGCCCATGAGAGGCGAGGAGTGACATGAAGCCTGTGTGGGCAGGATGAGGACACATGGTGTACGTGACATGAGTAGGAGAGTGATGGAAGAGGCTGGTGGCTAATTCGGGCCTGATGGCTTTTCCCTTTCCTCTTCCCTCCCTACTTCTGAGAGACAGACAGACAGACAGACAGACATCTAGGTCCAGACTGTGGCTGAGGAACAAAGTACTTAATTTTCCAGACCCGCATCTTCCCGTCTGTCTCATGAGGAGCTAGGCTAGATGAGAGATTATAAATTGGGCTCACCTTAATTAATATTTGACTGATTGGTAGGGGGCTTCCTGGTGCATTGTGTTGAGAAGGATTCTGAGGCTGCATCTGTGTCTGCTGTGATTGGGGTTGGTGGTATATCTTGGCTCTCAGGCCACCTATTGGCTAGGGCTGGCCTAGGTGCTCTACAGAGCTCTTTCCGGCCCTGGAGCCCTGTGGTCCCACATTCCCCTTCATTCTACTCTTATCCTGTCCCTTTCCATCACCTGGTCCTGCTGCTTCTTGAGCCTTGCAGCTCAGTGGGCAGAGCACCAGGGTGCAAGCTCCCCTTAAGCCACAATTTAATTTAGTCACAGCTGCCCCCATGAGTCCCATCCCATGAGAATTAGCTCCCAAACTGCTCTTCGGGAAACTGAATTCACCAACCTCACTCCCCTGTATTCTGAGATTTTTAATCTTCATCTCCCCTTAGTCACCTAACTTTCTCCCAGTGGGACGGAGGTTTCTGAATCAGATGCTGGAGCAAACTCCTGAAGGCTTCCTCCCCTGGAGCTTGGCCCCCTTGAAAAGCCTGCTGAGACAGTCTTCAGGACGGCCTTCACCCGGACTCCGTACCATCAACTTTCCCGCCAGTCTCACAAGACTCTGCTTCAATTCCTTAAACATGTTGTTTTCTCCCAAAGCCAAGAACTTTGCAACCTTCTTAGAAATGAAACCACAGAAGCCATAAGGTGGAGGCACCCTTTCACAGCCTATTTTATGGACTTAATTGATTTTTAAGGCTCTTCACCACAAGTTTATCTTTGGTTTGTAATTCCATCTCCTCTGTACTCAAATATACTTCCAGTATAGTCCTATGTTTAAGAAGCTGACACAGACACAGGACTACGTTGACCGGCTGGGAAATGGGGTTTTAGAAGAGAACGCCAGCACCCCAGAAATACTGGTAAACGTTCTAAATATTGGTAGAGGCCAGGATCAGAGCCAGGACTCGCAGGAATTCTGAGGGTAGAGGTGATTTCAGACCATTTCATCCGCTCCCTTTGATGTCTGCCCTCTCTGTGACCTCTTTTCAACTCCTTATCTTGCCCTGATAGCAAGGAGGATTTATGGCAATCCAGAAATCTCTTTGGCAGGATTAAATATAATTTTGCACAAAAGGATGGAGGCGGGTAACGGGCTCTTTGATGATAAAACCGAAGTCAGGGCTTTCTCGTCAGCTGAGCGGGACTCAGCCCTCGTACAGCCAGGACAAGGACAGCCTCAATACTGCTCTCGGCCAGTGTGCTGGGACCCCAGACTGGGGCATCTGACGGGAACTGCGAGTAGAGTTAGGAGAAATCTTCCTGTTCTCCAAACCCTGAGGTTTCCTCTTTCTTGGCTGATTAGGGAGAAGTTGAGACCCAGAAAATGCCACCCCAGACATCGCACTAGCAGAGCCGCTGGGCTGGGAGGGGACTTGACCCCGGGGATGCAGGCAAAGGCTTGGCGGGAGGTGGCAGGCAAGGTCCATAGGAAGCTACTCAGAGGAGGAAGAGAGCTGGGAGGATTCATATAGGTGACATTTCATTACGGAATGAAAATTTACCTGGTCTTCCTTCGTCTCCTCTGTCTGCAGCAGCATTACCTCGGATTAATTTGGTCTTGACTTCCTTCCGTTTTTTTCAAGCTCATCTCTTCCTCCTTTGAATAGGTTTCCAGCCCCCGGACTCTTGAGATCATTCCCCTCCTTTTTTTTTTTTTTTTTTTTTGACTGCGCTTCATGGCTTGCGAGATCTTAGTTCCCCAACCAGGGATTGAACCCGGGCCCACGGCAGTGAAAGAGCTAAGTCCTAACCACTGGACTCCCAGGGAACTCCCAGATCATTCCCCTCCTAAGCTGCTTTCTCTCTGCTGTGTCCCCCCAGTCCGCTCACTGTGGCTCAGCCACGTGGGAAGTGTTTCGGTCCAATCTTGGCGGCAGGGGGGACGCTCTTTCAGGAGCTCCAGGCCCACACGTGGGCTCAGTATGGATACTGCCATCCTGGGCCTTGTGCCTGATCCACAGGGCGGGCCTAGCTCTGTGAACTGCGGCCTTAACTTGCCTCCTGCTCTCGGCAACCTCCTGGACCCAGCCCCTCCAAGCCTGGCCACTGCTTGCTCTTCTCAGAGGCCCTGCCTGTGATTGCATGGTGGCTGGGGGTGCTTGAAGCCCTAAAAGGGTGGCAGGGAGGGGAGAAAGCGTGGGAGTTTTGGGGCAGGGACTTCGCACTGAGCTGTTGCAACCACACTTCACACCGCCACCCAGGTCTGTGCTCTGATATATCTGCTTCCCACTGCCCTCTGTCCTTCCCGCTCCTCTCTGGCTGGTCCTGCCAAGCCTCTCCACAGCTCCCACAGTAAGTGAAGAACTACTCCCCGTGACCGCATGCTTCACCCACACCCCCATCCCTTACCTGCCTCATCCCAGCCCTCCTGGCCCCGGCCCACCATGCGCACAAGGCAGGCAGTCTTGCCTGGTGACTGGGCCGGTCCACCCCACAGTGGATGTGAGTCTCTTCTATTCCCCGCTCCCTCCCTCCCCATCCCATTTTCTCTGGCTGACATCACTTCACTCAGCTCACAGAGTTTGCTTCTTTAATCGCTTTGGTCAAAACAAATGACCCATCTCCGCTGACTTCACCCTCTTTTGAAATTCTGCACTGAATCAACACTTTCCTCCTTGCTTCAGACCCTTAAACATTGCCTCTCTGCCCACACACTGGGCTTCCTTTATGAATCCTTTGCCTCTGTGCCCACCTCTTCCAAGAGGACCTCCCTCATTAGACGCAGGGATGCACAGAGGGGGGAAAAAAGAAATCCTAGGTGCCAGACAGACATAAAACATACAGACAGTTACAAGAAAGGGTCAATGAACTTGAATAAGAGGACCGCGCGGTCCGTCTGGGCGGGCAGAGGTCTGGTTCTTTTGCTGCAGCGGTTTTCAAGACCAAGGGCTTTCCGTGGGCAGAGCCCCTCCTTCAGACAGAGCAGCTCTTCATTTGTCTGGTCTGGATACCTGGCTTCTGTCAAAGGTTTCATTTCAAGAGAGTGCTGCGAGGTCCAGCAAGTTTGAAAACCACTGGTCCAGAAGGGCTGGCCCACTCCTGGCTTCCCCCATGGGTCCTGGTTCAGTGCTCTGGACCCACATCTGAAACTGTCTCATCTCTGTGGCAGCCCTTCAGATATCTGAAGACTGTTATGGGTCTCTGCCCCCCATCCCCACCCCTCACTCCACCTCAGGCCTTCTCCCTGCCCAAGCCAAACACCTCTGACTTTTTCAGCCACTGCTCAGACCCTGGCTAGACGGGCTGATGTCCTTCTGCCAGGGAGACCCAGCTCTGCTGGGGTCTGACCCACATGCTGCATGCAGGCGGAGCCCTCACCATGGTCCTATTCAGGGGCCTCGGCCAGGCCCTTCTCTCTGGGCCTGTCGCCCATCAGTGTAAGGAGAGGTTTGCTCTAAATGCCCCTAAGATGCTTCCAGCTTTAACTGTTTTGAGTTGGATGAGGTTCCTGATGGGAGGTCCCTGCTCCCCCCCTCTCTTGGGTTGGTGAGTCACTCTGCTTGAGTGTCCTCCAAGGGTGACACTCTTAAGCTGGGCACAAGGAGAGTTCCACTATGGAGACCCAACTGGGGCTTACCCTCTGTCTTTAGAAATTTGATCCAG